TTCCCCAGCCCCTCGGTGCCACCCTCTTAGGGGATGCTGTGGCCTCTTTGCCCGGCTTTCTGGGCTGTGTGGGGATAACATGGGCATGACGCTGCCTTCCCCCCACCTTCATCCTCCTCATTCACAGCACTGGGGTGGTACCCAGCACAGGACCCTTGGCAGCCCAGCGGGTCCCTCACCCACGGCATGGCCCCAACGCACCGGAGCTCAGGCGGCTTCTCCAGTGCCCCATTACCTTTCTCTAGTGTTTTTCTTGCAGGACACTCTGAAAGCTGGTTGATAAACCCAAGGTGCTGTGCTCTGACATCTCCTGGTGTGTGCAGCCACCTCCCGCAGGCAGCCGGATCAGGAGTGAGGGGGATGCAGCAACACCACGTTGGGGGGCTGGTGTTAGTCCTGCTTCACACTGCCCCAGCCACACCAACACCCCTGCTGGAGAAGCACCTTGGGGTCCATGCTGGGTCCTTACTTCCCGACACAATCCCACCAGCATCTCACATCCCCAGCTGGAGTAAAGCCCTGCACAGCACATCCTACCCTGGTCCCATCTGGTCTGACCCCTCCCCCCCCCCAAGTCCTGCAGAGTCAATGGGAGCCCATCAGCTCCCAGTATAAACTCACACCCAAGCCCTTGCCCACAGTATGCACCCTCGAGGAGCACCTACGGCCAAGGCAGCATCATAGAGCTTAAGCCAGTGTCTTTAGCATCTCAGTTCTTCAGGGCAAGCCCCTTCCCATCAGCCTCCTATTTGTAGGAGAAATTCGGCTAGAAAGTTGTTAACCTGAGTGCATCCTAAACCAGGACTCTGGGAAAGAGAGGACTGGGGTCTGTGCACTGCCAGCACTAAGACAGAGCTGTCCCTGGAAGGGCAGGGTGGCAGCTGGGTGACACATCCAGTTTGGGCCTGCAACCCACTAACAGCATCTGACATCGAACAGGGCAAACACAGCACCATGCCCACAGGTCCCTCTGCCAGAGCTGAGTGATGCAGGTGATGCTTGTGACACCTGAGATTTAGTTCCAGACCTACACCTAATCCCAGACCTGGACCCATCCCAGTTCTGCCTGTCAACTGCTAACTACCCTTTCCCAGTAGTTTGGCCAAAAATTAAGGTCTGAGCCCAACTGCTCCTACTCCTGGGTACCCGCCTCACCCTGTCCTTCTAGGTCTGACTTAGGAAGCAAACATGGGTGTAGATCACCTTCCTCCCTACCCTGTGCTGCTTTTGGCTCCCTGGGCCACCCCCAGGCACTGTCCCCACCTTCCAGGTCTGCTCCATCCCATAAGGATGTCGAGGGCTCTGGTGTTTAAGTAACCACACAGAGCCAGCATCTTGGATTTCAGCAGCCACAAAAGCAATCAGGGCAAGAAGCAGAGCGAGAAGAAGGGTGGGAGCCAGGCCACGGGGATGGTGCTGGGCACGGTGCACGCACGGCTCCGCTCCGCTGCCACGCTGTCCTACCCTCAGCCGGAACGACGGGAGCTAAAACAGAGATGGCTTCAGCCCTGCGGGGATAATGCCTCCTCCCGGGGCGCTGCGTGCCTGCAGGGCTGCCCTGGAGGTTGGGGATGAAGCAGCCAAAGCTGGCGGGTTGGAAATGGAAATTTCCCAGGAAGGGAGGAAATCGCTTCTTCCTGGGGCGTCACCAGAACTCGCCTTCCAACAACTTTATTTGCCGCCGTCGAGTCCCAAAATAGCTCGAAGCAGCTGTTGGGAGTTCACATCTCCTTCACCTCTGGTCCCCTTCCCGCCGCGGGAAATGGGCTTGTGCAGCCCCGCGTCCCAAAGCAACCCACCGCCAGCAGAGGGAGAACCGCCAGCCCCCCGCAGCCACCCCCTGCCCCGGCACAGCCCTCCCACCGCGGGCAGGGCTCCGGGGAGTGCAGAGCCCGGGAAGGCCGGGTCTCTAGGGCTGGGCTGGAAAATTCGGTGTCAGCCATGCCATGGAAAAGCTTTTCCAACCATTTTTCTGGTGGCTTTTGAACGGCAGCATGGCCTTTCACTGCTGAGCCAGAGATCTGCCCCAGGCTGGTTTTCCCTTATTCCAGAGCACAGGTAACGTCCCACTTCACGGGCTGGAAATGCCCATTTGAAAAGGCCAAGTTCAGCAAACAGCCTATTAGCAAAGCCAACAAGAGCCTCTGCATTTGTCTCCTGGGTGTAACTGCAAAATCCAGCATCAACAGGAGCTTCTGGAGTGTCCCAGACCTGCTTCTTCTCTGGATTACTCCAAGCTGCCCATTGCAGAGAAGATCAAGCCTGGACAGCTCTGCAGACCAGGGAAACTGAGGCACAGAGGCACAAAGCAGCAGTAGCAGACTCCAAAGACACAACTAAGCAGCACTTTCTGTGCAACCAGCAAACCCACGATGAACTCTCCCTGCTCTGCACCCAGCCTGGGTAGACAAGACAGCAAAGGAAGTGTGGCGCTGGTGGAAGGGGACCCTGCAGCCTTGGCCGACCCACCTTGAGGCCACCCCTCACCAGATGCTGGTGGCCATCAGCTTTGTGCAGTCTCATTAAAGCTATGCTGAGCTCACTGGAGCAGGGAAGTCCACATTAAGAGCTAGCAGTGACGACTTCCAGCAGATGGGTGTCACTCACAGCATCAATTCCCTGGCTCCTTACCTGCCGTGGAAACTGGCTTTGGAGTTTCAACTCCTCTGGCTTTGAGAGTGGAGGGCAAGGGGGTGGCTACCCCTTAGACCACTGTGCTGGGAACGTATTTTGAGCAATCACAAGCTTCATCATACCTAAAAGCAGAACCTGAATGTTAACAGGAGCCAGCTCAGAGCCCCGGCAGGCAGCTGGAGCTGTGCAGGCAGCAAGGGCGTGGGGTCACGTCCTCTGCCCCTCAGCTCCGGGGTGCCAGGTCACCCCCCCATCCCCACTCAGCCCCTCTCTGCTCCCCGTTACCGGCCTCCCAGCGCCACCTAACGACAGAGCGACCAGGGACAAGGACCTTCCTGGGGAAGCCAGACACATCCCTGTCCCTGGAGAGAAGGGCGGAGAGCACCGACAGCAACAGGGCGGGAGCAGGACCCCCGCCCGGGGGTCAGGCACCAGAGGAAGGGGGAGCTGGAGGTACCAAGTAAGAATTTACATCATCACAACGATCCTTCCTCTGCCCATGAGGCTCTGTCCTCCATCCCTGCCCTTCGCTGACCTTGATCATCCCATGGCTTTCCCACAGCCCAGCTTTAACCCCAGGGCCTTGGCTAAATTCTGGGTTGAGCAAGGACACTGGGATTGAGCAAAGAAAGACACTCCCCTTAATCACAGACCAAAAACGACCCTGAAGCATCACCAGCTTGGGAACAGCCCTCTGCCATGCTCAGTGAGAGCACAGTGGCCGGTAGCATGGCTACAAAAGAACCTTGACATCAACATTCAAGGCAATGTGGAAGAAAACCCTGGGGAAGAGTTGGTTCATTTTCTCCCAATACCCACAGATTTGATGGCGCCACAACAGCCCCTTCAACATCACAACTCTGGCTGGGTTAGCAGCTGGAACGACTGCTCCCCACCCTGAGCACAAGTCCCTCACCTCCACATCCTGCTTTCCAAAGTGCTTTTCCACTTCGGAACCCAGAGCTGATGTAATCTGCTGCTCAGGAGTTCAGCACTAGGGCTGCATCAGCCTGGAGACCTGACGAGAGCCACATCACACAAGCAGCTGTTCCACAAAAGCTTTATTGCTTGTTTGCCTACCAGTTCCCAGCATCGCATTTCCTGAGTTTCTTAATGAGCTTGCAAATGAGATTTAAATAGAAAAGGAAGGGCAGGGGGCAGGGAAGAGTGAAGATCTCCATTCCCTAAGGCTGGACCAGAGATGGGGTGGGAGTCACAGTGACCAGTGGGCAAGTCCCCTACCCCAGGAGATGGCTCAGCAGAGATGGAGGTTGAGTGCGGACCAGAGATAAGGCTCCATTTACCCTCTGCCTCCATCACAGAGCCCAATTTGCTCCTAACTGCCATTGTCACTGTTGAGACAGGTCAGAGAGGAGCAGCTGCAATCCCACAGGGACCTGGGGACAGCGTGGGTGGCAGGATGGCTGGGGCAGGGGGGGCCCTGCCGACGCAGCCCCCGCGCCACGGATAAAGAGGAGATCAGGGCTCACGGCTTGTAATCTGGCTTAAAACCTGACACCGTCACCGCAGGCAATCTGGGCTAAGAGAAGCATTTAATAAGCTTCACAGGCCAAAGGAAAAAAACCAAACCCCACCAGGAAGAGAAGTGAAAGGGCTCCAGGAAAGGCTTGCACCAGCCGGCACCAGGGAAGCAGATCCCTGATGATCTGGAGCTTGTTATCCCAAATCCCGCCCACAAGCCAGAACCCCAGGTTTAACTGTGGGAGGCAGAAAGCCAATGAATTGCCCCTGTCTGTTTGTGTGGAGCCCAGGAGCAGCACAGGGCCCACGGGAGCTGCCTGGCCTGGGACACGTGGCAGGGGACGCGGCGCTCGGCTGCCTGCTCCGGCAGCGGGGAGGTCACAAAAGCCAGACTCCAGCAGGAGGTCCAATTTGGCTTTCCTGGAAGGGTTTATTTAAAAAACAACCATTACAAGAAGCCTGCTCAGGCACGAATGACAAGGCAACGAAGCCATTTGGCTTGAGGCTTAAAGGAGGCAGCAAGACACAAGGAAGTTTCTGTGTGACCTGCCATGGAAGGAGTGCCTGGGCAGGGCTCCTGCCAGACGAATATCTCCCCTCCTCTGCACCAGTCAAGTCATCAATGCTCAAAGGACACAAGTGACAAGAATCACCCCCCCTCCAGGAGTGGCAGCG